CATACAAAAGAAACCAGCTAATGTCCGTTAAATTAAAAGAGATACACAAACAGCAAACCAAGAGAGTGACCTTGATAATTTTCCTATATTGGACTTACAAAAGAGACTTGTTAAAGCTTTGAAGAATTATTTGAAGGGTCAAAGAAAAATGAAAAGAAATCAAATTCAACAACATTATGTGAAAGGACTAAATATCAAGATCGTTAGAAGTAAAAGGAAGGAATATGAAGTTGGTTTATTTGATCAAGGTTAGAACAGATAAATGTTGTTATCTCTGGTAACCCTTAATGAACTTTTGGTGACATCAGGACTGAAATGATGCTTGATGGATTTGTTTATAGATAAGAGATGGGATATGGGAAGAAGAGATCATGTGTTGTATTTTAAGAGAAGGTGATAAGTTACTGAAATTGTTTATATTCTCACCTTCATTATAACAACTATAAACAATTTCAGTAACTTATCACCTCTTAAAATATATATATTCTTTACTATATTCTTGTTTTCTTTCTTTTCTATTTTTCTATTTCTTCCTTTTTTTCTTCCTTTTCTGCACCTTCTACTTCTTATTCTTTTATTTTTTTTAGTTTCTATTAGTTTTTATTGTTGTAATTATATCTTTAATAAAATTACTATAAAAAAAGATGCAGTCATCATATGAACAATATGCATTCATCTCTAAATAAATACCATAGGAGTGTCAGGTTACTGAAGTCTTAAGTACATTAATAGTCATTTAATCTCAACCCTAACCCTCAGACAAGCTTGAATTGATTAACCCACCAAAATTTACTATTTGATGCTGTAGCTTATAGCACAGTTTCCATGCAATTCAACATGGAATGGCAATTCAACATGTCCAGTGTATAGTGTAACTACACAGATTCCAATCAGGTTGTATGAAGCTGCATACTATCAATGTGCAAAAAAGGACAAACAAACACTAGAATATATCATGTCCACATAGAGGCAAAAAGTGTCTTCTAATGGGCAATAACTGCTGTAAATTTAGCTTCTTGATATTCAGATGAATATGCATGAATCATTTAACCAGATACTTTATCCCATGACAGAAATGATAAGTAAGTCAGTGAAAAGACAGGTAAGATATAAGTCTAGATGTTAGCAAATATTGGGCGGAGTTAAAGAGTAGACAAGCATAAAGAATAGGAGGCATTCTACTTTGCGCATGTGAAGTCTGCCAATCAACTGTAAGATATAAAACCAACACTGAACACGGTGCAAACCCTGGAAGGTATATTGTCTTAGTAAACTGGTTACTAAGGTATATTTTCTTTAGTAAACTGGTTTACTGAAAAGTTTTATGAATTTTCCAGGAGACATTCATAAGGAGGCATAAGGAGCATGACGTGCTAGCAGCCTGTGTTGTCATCTTTCTCTAGCACCCTCCACTCTCCAGTACTACGCTCTCCTCCCTTTCTGTTTGCATTTCACTTTATCCCTCTTATAATGCTCAATAAATATTGTAAAGCCGTCTTGTGCAGACAGATGTAACCAAACTAAAACACAGAACATGAACAGTTACTCCAAACTAGAAGTTTTGCAAAGTCACAGGAACTCAAAAATAATGAAACAGGAGCTTTTTAAATAGTTTGGCAACAATCTAGTGGATTAAAGTTCTTTTCCTGGTGATTTGTTATCATGACACTGAATCTTGGCATGAAAACAGGGAGACTCAAGCAGAGAGAACCAGGAAATGAGGGGAAAGAGGTGTAGCAGAAAGAATTTCTCAAAATTAAAGGAGACGCCTGAGGAAAACGCAGGATGGAGAATGCAGGGGGAAGCATCAAACACGATCAGCTCCTCTCCCGGTCATGGCAGATCTTTCATATTAGGAAAACCCCTGTGTGGGAAAACCTAGACCCAGAGTGGGCCATACGTTGTTTAGTGGGAAGATCTGCTAAGTAGAGGACAAGCTGCATTTCAAACATAGTAGCTTGGCTAAAATAAATCTATCTGAATAATTTTGTTGAGATTTACTTGTTCCCTAGGGTTTCACCATTAATATTATTCTGAAAAAAAGAAAGATTACACTACATAACATAGGCAAATCACTTAGTGTTTGGAAAGTAATCCAGCAATGTTTACACAGCATGTTTATCCCACTGCAGTCAGGCTTGAGCATATATTCACACAAGTTGTGCTAATTAGAATCTATTCAATGAATTACATTTTCAGTCCCTGGTATAACTAATAGGACATTGAGACAGCAATCCAGCTCTTGGCTCTCTGGGAGCAGGTTCTACTGAATTCAGTGCCCTTTCCTTAGAAGGAAACATATATAAGATTTAACTGTGAATTATTTCATCTTAGACCTGTTTACAGCAACATTGGTCTCCCTTAGGATTTTAATAATAGTTATGGAATATTCTACTCCTGGTCACAGTCTTGATGGAGGTCTACTTAAGAACTCAGAAGAACCTGTTCAGAGAGATACATAACCTGAGCCTTAATCACTACATTCACACACAACAACCTGCCCCCCTCCCACCCCCACAAAGCATTGGAGTAACTCCAGTACCTCTTAAAACATTCCCAAACATAATCACCAGATTTGATATGGCAGAAGGGGGAAATTACTGAACAACCTGGGTGGGGAAGTTTAAGTCACATTTACTATATTTAGTTAATTTAATTATAATTACATCTAAACATAAATAGTGGCCCCATCATTTGGGGGAATGTGATCCTTGGATCACCATGCGAACTGTGCTCCTTGGCCTGACAAAAACCATGCACTTCTGCTGTCCATGCTCTGCTTCATTTCATTTATCAACCTCTTTTCTCTTAGCCAGGGTAATCTGCAGAGACAGTCAAAAAAGTCAAGTTGGTGCTTACAACCACAGACTGAAGTTCTGCCTCTTTTTTATATGTGGCTGCCATCTTGCCTTTTTTAAATTTCCCCAGATGCTTATGCTCTTAGCACGAGCCACATATTCACCCCAGCCCCTGTTCTTCTTTCATCTCTGCTTGTTTTTGTCTCCCCTCTGCCTGACTCTCTTGTTCCCAGCAAAAACAGAACCATTTGCATGACACTTCTGCAATTATTATCTGCCCAGGGATAAATTCAATTCCAGCCGGTTGAGAGAAAGTTGCGCTGCAGCTCTGCTGGCTTAACAATAAACAGCAATCTCTAATTCTGGAACAGCCACAAAATTAACCATATGTGTTTGTTTACTTACATTGTGTGTATGTATAATCAGATGCAGTAATATCTAGCACACACACATACACAGTCACCCATACAGATTAAAAAATGGAATGGCAACATGTGCTTCAATATGCTATCATTCCCTGAAAGGAAAGCTGTCACTGAGAGATGGAGTATCCAGAGTTATACTCAGCAACAGCCATCTATAAAATCCCATTACCCTCCTCAGCAAATGCCTGTTACTTATTTTATATTTTCAGATCCACTTCTCCTTACGCTAAGAGGTTTTTCTTAGGTCATATACTCCATAAGGCTTCTGCACTTTGATGCCATATATTCAATAAGTGTCTGTCTTCCACTCTTCCTCTTTCCTTAATCCATCTTCTTTGATTAGCAACAACTGCATCTAGGGATGCGTGTGTGGGTGAGAGAGTGATATGTGTAGCTGTTTCCATAACATTTGCAAATGCCATTTCCCTTCAGCTTGAAATTTCATATAGCAACACTTGCCTTAACACTACACTAAACAACATTCTTTGATAATGTATTATTATGGCTAGTTCTCTTGCAGTGACCCTCTGCCCACTGCAGCTAGAATATTATTAAATCAACTGTGTTGAACTCAGATTGTGTATTAACTGCTCTCCTTATGTATTTGTTCTCAAGTGGACTGTGTTTGTCTCAGACACTTGCTGAAATATTATGGAAGCAGAGCTGGTTCTTTGACTTGATAATTACTGATGGTGGTCCTCTAAACACTCTGAGAATACTACTCATGGGACATGATGTACAATAAATATTCTTGCAGGAACTTGCATACGACAAGTGAATTATCACAAAGATTTCAACTGAGGTATGTGACATGGAACAGGTCATAGTTCAGGAGTTCACCAACTGTAGCTTTGGAATCACATGCAGCCCTCAAAAATTTGCTGTTGAACGTACTTTTAGTGTGACTGAAGAGGAAAAGCTGAAATACATGGGGAGTTATCACCTATAAATTTAATTAATTTAAATAAATTAAGACAAAGTTCCTTTTTTTATTCTGTCTCACTTAATTTCTTTATCCTGATCTATCCTCTTTGTCGAGTGCAGCCTCAGCAAGTTTTTACCAGGGGAAACGTAGTTCTCATCTTGAAAAGGTTGTACATCCTAGGAGAAGGACAATTGCCCTCCCCCTTGCCTTGTTTTAAACACCTGTGGAAGACTTGCTTGTCCTCCTGGGTATTTGCAGGGTAACAAATGCCCCACTATCAGGCTGCCTTTTGTCTGCCTTTTAACTGAACTCTGTTGTCAATTGTTGCACTCCCTGGTGTTTACTGCAGTTTGCTTTTATCACTAACTTTCAGGAAAGGCTGTTTTTACTTTCTTTAGGATGCTGCTTTGGCCTGGAAAGGGGGCAGAACCTAGCCTACTTTGGTTAATCTTGAACAGCTATGGAGGGTCTGAACTGGTTAGTACCCAGATGGAAGACCACAAGCAAATCCCACAATTGTATGCTAGACTGAAATTTTAAAAAATGGAAAACAGTAACGGCAAATCACTTGCATATTATTGCCAAGAAAATTAAATGGATGGGTCCATGAAATCACAAAAGTCAAGCCTGACTCAAAGGAGTCTGGGTTTCTTTGTGAGAAAAAGTGGGATGAGAATGATAATGGAAATAATTAGGAAAGACAAAACAGCAGTCTTTGCAGAAGCAGGCATCTGTAGAAACATGTTCAATAAAAAATCCAGAATACTTGCCACAAGGTCTTAGAGTTCCCTTGGATCAACATTTGCAAATTGGTGGATGAAAAGCAAGTTATTATTTCCATTGTCTACTCACCGGATTGTTGTACATCTGAATAATAAGTTGCTTGACACCATGCAGTGTAGGATGAGCCCAAGGAGAGGGATCTACCCAGTGCCGATTTAAATCAAAGCCCATCAGGGAACACCTATGAAAACAAATAAAGAGCAGGCAATCAGTTCCCAAGATGTTGTACATGATATTGCGCAACATGAGCTGGGTCACTACTCTTGGTCAATTAAGTCCTAATGACTGGAATCACTAAGCTATACATTATGGTGTACAAATTGCAAAAAGCCATTAATATGGTTTGTTTAATCTTCACTTAGCATGATGTGTGGACCTCTCCAATTTCATCTAATATATAAAATATAAATGGAAAGAGTGGAGCTTTGTTCTTGGAATGCATCTTGTGCAAATCCCACAAACTGATGCAGGAATAAGAGAGAACAAACCAACATATTGTCCAGCTAGAAGGGGAAAATGGTGAGTGCAGAGAACAATATTAAAAGAAGATTCCTTGAAAATACTCCATCCAATATAAAAAACTTTACAAGTGATAATAATTCTCAGGCAGAAAGACAAGAGGAAGTAAGGTTTAACTCAGTATTTTCTATGCTATCAATAGATGCTGGTGATGGAGAAGGTCTGAGCCCTGAGGATTTTACCTCTAATACAATGTTCTCACAAATGAGCCCCACATGTGTTAGACCCACAGCATATGAAGAAGTACAAAATGAGGCACAGAAAGAACTTAAGGGAGGAACATCTATACCAGCTAGAGGGGATTTATCTCTCTTGGACACTGATATCACTCTGACCTCGCAACCTGTTAAAGTACTTCACCATAATTGCCTTGCACCTCAAGCCTTGATGGTGCCTTGCCATCAACATGACAATGGTGAAGATAGACAACATGGAAATCAGTGTATCTTCTTTGATACAGAAGGCATTTTAGACAATATCACTCCTGCTGATTGACTAAAAGACTCATACCCTATAACCCAAAATTCTAAGCCTAAAATTGGGCTTCCTACCAATAATAACTGCAAGGTCTTCCTCCATCTACTGACCTGGAATATCGCTGGTTGGAAGAACCGAGTGTCTGATGGAGACTTGATGGAATTTCTCTCTGGCTTTGATTTTATAGCCCTTCAAGAAACATGGCTGACCAAAGAG